CACACTCACACACTCACACACCCACAGCCACACTCTCACACACACACGCTCACACACACACACACTGCCACACTCTTACACACACACGCTCAAACACCCACCCACTGCCACACTCTCTCTCACACACACACACACCCACTGCCACACTCTCACACACACGCTCACACACACACACTCTCCGTGTTCTACACGCTTCTGCCAGGTCAGGGTCTCGGATCGTTTTCTTCAGCTCGCTCATGAGGACTGCGCCCCCCTGCGCCGCCTTGCGGACGGTTTCTGTAAATTCACCTCCGTTTCCACAGTCGACATAAAACTGCGAAGCTCAAGCGAGGATGTGTGTTACTGTTTCTTCTTTTTACTGTTTCGCGAATTTTCAGTTTGTGAAATCCCCCAGCCGTATTTTATAGGAAAAGATTGGCTGTGGTCTTTTTTAAATACTAAAAATGTACAGGTATGCTATAAAATACGATTTCATTCTATAAGACAAATATAGTCGTGAGTATATTAATTTTTAAATCTACCAGTTGTTTCTGAACAGATTTAAGTGTTTTATTTTTTTTAAATAACAAAACATTTGACTGCAATTATATATTAAAATAAAATTAAAATATATAATACAAATAATATTTTAAAATATAGATTACAATAGTTTATTCATACAAAAAATAGAGGATATGCGAATAGTAATTTATCAAAAACAAAGAATTTTTTTATCATTCACCGTGAAATCGGACAAGTTTAATTGATAACTGTCTGGTTTTGTTATATAGGTAATAATTCAATAATCTCACAAAAAGATGTTCATTTGTATTAATGGACACGAACCGCTTTTAGGCGATGCAATGGTTTCACGTTTCATATCGGAAATAATTAACGCGGCTCCTGCTTCTCTTTCATTGCGAGTGTCACGATTTTATCAGTGCGAGGAGCTGCCGATTAATTACCCCATTAATAAATATAAAAGCCTTGGGCTAAAACACCCGGCGCTCCGATTCTCGGCTCCCTTACGGCTGAAGCTCGGAGCATGACGAGTGCTTCGAGTTTCTTGGAAAGCACATATTAATGTACTAAGGGGTTATAGTATTATCATTCTGATTCCATATTTATCTCTTAGGCGTCTGTGGTCTGCTGCAGCTGGGAGGGGTACAGTTGTAAAAGCAGGCGGTTGCACAGAGGTGTGTCAGGAGCGCTGGGTGGTTATTAGTTGCGGTTGTAGTGGAGGCGGAACCTTAGTCCGCGCATCCGCAGTTGCACCTGAGCGCGGAGCAGATCCGGTGCTGCACCAGTTCCGGCAAGACGGTGTTTACAGACAATAAGAGGTTGATATGATTTTGTGTTGATGTATATAAGGCGGATACTGGAATGAGCCGCTTTCTGTCTTCAGTGCCTGAGCCAGAGCAGCTCCAGGCGGTCTGTGTGTTAGGGATGAGGGTGTGTGCGGCTATCCGGGCAGGGTCTCTCAGGAGATGGGAACCGGGACGCGCTGCAGGGCTGCTCGGCGTTCATGTCGCTCGGTTGTGTTGCTGACCTGTCCGCCCGGTTCCTTGGGCTTTTCTGTATAACTGTTTTTACTGAGGTCACACGGCAAGTGCGTGTGTCTCTGCAGTGTTGACTGGTTTTACTGGGACAGTCTGATGTTTAGTGTCACTGTGTCAGAGGGCAGGTGTGTGTGTTTGTGTGTCTCGCTGCAGTGTTGCCTGGGACAGTCTGTGCTCTAGTGTCACTGTGTCAGAGGGCAGGTGTGTGTGTTTGTGTGTCTAACTGCAGTGTTGCCTGGGACAGTCTGTGCTCTAGTGTCACTGTGTCAGAGGGCAGGTGTGTGTGTTTGTGTGTCTAACTGCAGTGTTGCCTGGGACAGTCTGTGCTCTAGTGTCACTGTGTCGGAGGGTAGGTGAAGAATGTTACGTTATGACGGCTCTCTCTTCTCCGGGCCTCAGGTCACGATGACCCGTCACGGGAAGAACTGCACAGCAGGAGCTGTGTACACCTACCATGAGAAGAAGAAAGACACAGGTGAGAGCCTGGGCAGGGGTCAGAGGTCAGGGGCTGGGCAGGGCGTGGGAGTCAGGGGTAAGGGGTCAGAGGGCAGGGAGTAAGGTCTGTATGTAGTAATGAGTGTGTGTGTCAGGAATACTGTTACACTGGACAGATCTGTCACTGCTCTGTCTGCACCCTGTGTTGGCTTTCCTTGAGCCCAACCGGTGTCACTGAAACATCTTCTCTGTCTCTTCAGCCGCCTCTGGCTACGGCACTCAGAGCGTTCGCCTGGGCAAAGATGCTATAAAAGATTTTGACTGCTGCTGCCTGTCGCTCCAGCCTTGTCGGGATCCTGTGGTCACGTATGTACACGTACACACCTTTAACACGCTGAGGACACACCAGGGACTGACAGTCACACCCCCACTACAGAGCAGTCTGGTCTGCTGTGGGTCCACAACAGGTTGAATAATCAGATGCCCAAAAGGCATCTGTTGTGAAATACTCCATGTTCTATGAGAGAAAAGTGTTTTAGATTAAAGTAGCATTAATTAGCATTAAAACGACTAATCATTTAATTTAAATAAAAAATACAGCATTAGATTGCTGCTGTCTTGCAGTTTGAACCCCTGCCCGTGTTAAAGCTCAGCCAAGCGTCTGCATATGGTCCTATAACAACATCTGACGGGAGCAGCTGGAAGCAGTTGGGGGGAAAAAAGTTCATTTTTCTTGCAAGAGACAGAACATTGTCCAGGAGGAAGTAAATTGTGCAGTCCTGGAATCTCAGAAAGATAGAGGAACTGACTGAGGGCTGCTGTTTGCTCCTGTTTTACCTGCCTCTGCATGTCCTGCAGGCCAGATGGGTATCTGTACGAGAGGGAGGCCATACTGGAGTATATCCTGCACCAGAAGACTGAGATCGCCAAGAAGATGAAGGTGGTCAAGATCAATGGATTTTTTTAATTCCCAATGCCAGTTATGTCCTCCATGGTACCTCAGCAGCTGGGGCTGGATGCAGTGATCTCTGGACTGTAGGGGTACAGTGTGACCCAGACTGGACCGGCGGTCTCTGGACTGTAGGGGTACAGTGTGACCCAGACTGGACCAGCGATCTCTGGACTGTAGGGGTACAGTGTGACCCAGACTGGACCGGCGATCTCTGGACTGTAGGGGTACAGTGTGACCCAGACTGGACCGGCGATCTCTGGACTGTAGGGGTACAGTGTGACCCAGACTGGACCGGCGATCTCTGGACTGTAGGGGTGCAATGTGACCCAGAACAGGGGTGCTTTAACCCCAGTATGTGTATGAACCCTTCTTTCTCTCTTTTAGGCTTATGAGAAACAGAAACGTGCTCAGGCCAGTGAGGAGAAACTTCTTTCTCGGGCTTCTGAAGACTCCAAAGTCAAGTCCTTCCTTCAGAAAGAGGGCAGCATTGTTAGCAAACCTCTGAACCCCTTCAGCTCTGGTCAGAGTGCAGGTGGGCTGTGTCTGTATGTTTATTGTAGATGGTTGTATATGTGGTGCTCTTCCTGTGTGTATACTCCAGTCTCCTCTCCCCTTCTCCACAGGCGAGTCCAGTTCCAGTAACAGGGCCAGTAACTCAGCAACAAGTTCCTCTGCTCTGCCCAGTTTCTGGATTCCCTGTCTCACCCCTGAAGCCAAACCCACCACTCTGAAAAAACCAGTAAGAAACCCGACTCTCTGATCTCTCTCTGTCATATCCATCTACGTCTCCCTGCTCGGTGTCTCTGGTTCTGAGCCCGTCTTTGGATTGCAGGTGGAAATGGATAAATCTCTCAGACTGTGCTGACTGACAACATCTCGATCTCTCTCTCTCAGGTGAAAACCGTGCTGTGTCCGATGTCCGGCCGCCCCCTGAAGCTCAGCGACCTGGTGTCGGTCCGGTTCACTCCTCTGGACCCGGCCCTAGACCGTGTGGCCCTGCTGACCCGGCAGGATCGCTACGTGTGCGCTGTGACCCATGATACGCTGGGCAACTCTGTGCCGTGCGCTGTGCTGCGCCCTTCGTAAGTGACCTCTGCCTGGCCCCTCGAACCCGAGTGTTCGCCTGGGCAAAGATGCTGTGTGTTGCTGGATGTGTGGTCTATGGGCATGTTGCCGAGAGTTATAACACCTCTTCTTATTACATCTGTTTTTGTCAAATCTCTCTTATCTGAGTTGTGCGTTCAATTTTGTCAAGACTGTTTTTCACCCAGCCTTGGAAGTTTTACTCTGTCAGTTCTGATGTACTGGAGTGTCCAGTCAGTGTGTCTGTATTAACCCCTCTCTCTCTCAGTGCAGTGTTAATGTACTGGAGTGTCCAGTCAGTGTGTCTGTATTAACCCCTCTCTCTCTCAGTGCAGTGTTAATGTACTGGAGTGTCCAGTCAGTGTGTCTGTATTAACCATTCTCTCTCAGGGGCGCTGTGGTGACAGTGGAGTGTGTGGAAAAACTGATTCGGAAGGACATGACTGACCCAGTGAGTGGAGCTAAGCTGACAGAAAAAGACATCATTGTGCTGCAGAGGGTGAGACTAAGAAATAGTGTTTGTCTTCGTCTTTGTGGATTTCATTCACTCTTGAGTCATTCTAGACCGTCACCCTGCCAGCAAAAAGTCATTCCTGGCTTCAAGCCAGCATCACTCCAGTGCCCCGATTGACCAGTTAGTGACACTGACCCTGACGGACCAGCTTGTCTTGTGTCCTCTCCTGAGCTGAGCCCCAGGACCGAGGGACAGAAAGCCAGTCACTGCTCAGGTGGCAGTCTGTAATGGAAAAACTGTCGTTTGTTTGTTCCTGTTAGTAGCGAGACCCCCGGTTGAGCTCGGATGCCCATTGCATGGTAATGATAGTGCTACCATCAACAGCAAGCTCTGGCCACCTCAGGATCACTCGGAGGGCAATGCTTATCCTGCAGATTCACCTACTGCGTCTCTTGCCCTTTTCCCTGTTAGTAAGACACATGAAGCAGGAAGAAGTCTGGCTGCTTCAGGGATCATATCAGAGCAGAGAGGATCAGGGATCTGTCCCAGCACACAGCTCCCTGATTCACCCTTCCTGCACAGGATCACACTGACCTCCCTCTGTGTCAGGGATCACGTCAGAGCAGAGAGGATCGGGGATCTGTCCCAGCCCACAGCTGCCTGATTCACCCCTCCTGGACACAATCACACTGAACTTTGTTTGTGTTCTTTCAAGGGATTCAAAGAAGCCCAACACTTATCTTTTTCAGTGAGGTTCACCTCCTCACTCCCTCAGCTCTCTCTGTGATTGACTAATGTCTCTCTGAATCTCTCCTGTACGGATTTCTGCCTTCTGCATTCCTCTGGGATTCCTCTCCCGGATTCCTGTCATTCCCCATTTCCACCGTCTCTTTCATTCCCCTTCCTCTCTCCCCACGGCTACACCAGTGGCAGACGGTGACCAATGTCCTCCTCTCTCCAGGGCGGGACGGGGTTTTCTGCCTCGGGGGTCGCCCTGCAGGCAAAGGAGTCTCGGCCGGTCATGCAGGTGTGAGCTCCCGGCTCTGGCCAGCAGGGGGAGCTGTTCCCCGGAGGGAGAGGCCGTGGGATCTCGCCTGCCCCTGAGTCCGGGAGACTTTCAGCTCTTCAGCTCTCGTACAGTGCAACAATGTTTTGTTCAGTTAGCGACATACAGCTTCCCTGCTCTTTGTAAAAACTGCTATAGCTCTAACCCAGAACACCAACGTGGACTCTTGAGTGATTGTTAGTTTAAAAATGCCTCCCTCCTCTCTCCAGAACTAAAGGGTTAGTAATGATGAGACAGGAGGGGGCCCGTGTGTTGTCTGAGCGGGCCCTCGCTGTCCCAGCCTGCCCATCTCATTCCAGTTGTCCTGCTCCTCGTGGGCCCAGCACAGAGATGACTGCAGGTCTCTCCCGCTGGCTTCCCAGACAGCAGTGTGTTGTGTTTTGGTCTCAGTGATGTGAAACCAGGCTGCGCTGAAGGTCAGCAGATCAGAGCTACAGTGTGACTCCGCTGTGGAGTCCGAGACACCCTGGAGATTGTACAAACCCAGGGGCTCTGGGGGTCTTCAGTCAGGGGTTAAAGGTCAGTGTGAGGACAGTAACTGGCTCAGTTCAGTCCCTGAGACCCCAGTCCTTCAGGGGCTCTGGGGGTCTTCAGTCAGGGGTTAAAGGTCAGTGTGAGGACAGTAACTGGCTCAGTTCAGTCCCTGAGAGCCCCAGTCCGTTGTAAACAGACAAAAGTTAGGGTTTCGAGGGTCAATAATCCACTTCCTCTCCCTGAAATGAAATCTCATCTCTCCTCTTTCTCTCTCTCACCAAGGTGGGTCTGGATGTGAGAAGCTTTGTTGACAAAATTGTATTTTTGAGCTTCTTTGTGTTCAAAGTGGGGAAAAATAAACAGTTTTAAGTAACACTTCTTTACGGTTTTGTTTGACTCTGGGCTGAAACAGACTTAGTAGAATGGTAGTAGCGATACATTTGTGAAGTGAAATATAA